TTTAATTATTTAATTAAATATTTAAATTAAAATATATAAATATATATGGCTAAATAACCGGACAGATTTAATATGATTATTAAAATTTTATTAAATATTTAAATTATCTAATTAATTAGTATATAATATATTTAATAGTAAAGAATCACTTTGAAAAAGAAATTAAATAATATTTTCATATATAATATTTTTGTTGATATTTTTTATAATATAAAAAAATCTTTTAATCTTGATATATAATTATTATTAAACACTTTTAATAAAAAAACAGATTATCAAAAATTAACTAAATTGTATTTATAACAATAATATATTTATAATTAGTTATTATTTAAAGAATTTTATTTTATATTAAAATAAAATATATATTAGATTTAATTTTATGATTTATATTTTATAACTCTATACTAATATAATTTTTATATATATCATTAACTATTTTCTAAACTTTAAAAAATAGAATAAAAAATAGATATATAATCTTTAATAAAAGACATTTTATTTATTTTATATAAAAAGTAAAATATAGTATTAATTATCTTATAATTATATTAAAGAATATAGTATATTCTATAATAGTTTAAATAGTTTAAATAAATTTACTTTTATTATTTTTTCCAATAAAATATAAAACTGTCAATTTTTAAAATATAAACTATTCTAATATTTAAACTGTTTAGATTTACTTATATATTGAAAGATTTGCTTAAAAATTTAAATATTGTTATTTTTTATTATAATTGAAAAAAGTAATATTATTTAGCAGTTTTATAATTTTATTAAAAATATTTATATTAATTTATTTAAAAAATATCCAGTTAATAGTAGTAGATATAGACTCTAATAATAATTTCTTTTCTCTTTTTAAAAAAATTGAATTAATTTAAGGATCGATGGATCTAGAAATAATAGATTTTAAAGTAAAAAATTTCAGAATAAGATTAAAAACGAAAATAAAAAATTTTAAAATAAAATAAAATAATTCGATATTATAGCTTTTAATAAAAGGTATAATTATATACTTATTATTTTTTAAAATATTAAAACGTATACAACAACCGACGGTTATTAGAAAGATATTTTATTGACTATTTTAATAAAAGCAATAGAATATTTATTATATGAATATAAAAGAAGATATTAGAATTATTTTTAAATTTAAAAATATAATTAATACTTACTAAAATAATACAAATTTTACTAAAAATATATACTTTAATATAAAAAATATAGTAACTATCTAAATTAAATAAATTAGAATTTTAATATAATTAAATTCAATGTAAATTAAAATAAGAAGAATAAAATTATTATATAAATAAATTCTTACAGTCTAATTCTTACAGTTAATAATTATATCTTTATATTTAATTATATTAATATTAATAAATATATTTAAATAAAGATCTTTAATAAAATACATTCTAATAATAATATATATATATATATTTAAGAATAAAGTATTTAAAAATAATATATTAAAATAAAAATTCTTAGTATAAGAAAAAAAAATATTTTTAAAATTTAATATAAAGTTAGACCGGTGGATTAATCTAATATTAAAAAAAATATAAAAATATTTTAATAAAATATATAATTAAATTAGAAATATTTTTTGTAAATATAATATTAATAAAAATAATAAAATATTCAATCTTAAAATAAATAGATATGTACATATTAGTATAATTTAAACCAGTCTTTATTATTAAAAATATTAAATATATAAAAGTTTAATATTATTAATAATTTATTTTTTAAAATGATTAAAAATACTTATAGTATTATTAAAGATATTTAGTTTAGTAGAAATAATCTAAATAAACTTTTTAATATAATAAAAAATATAACATAGTTATAATATAGAATATATTATTTATTAATATTAAAATTTTTAAAAATAGATTTAATATTTTATTCAAAAAAGTTGTCTTTAATAATATATATATTTTAATAGTTATATAAGAATTCTTTTGTAGATTTTTTTAATATATCCGGAATATAGCTGATTAATATATTAGATATTTTATAATAATTCCATATAATATAAATTCAAAAATCATTTATTTCAAATATTATATATATTCATTTGTTCGGATTAAAGACGGAATATCTAAAGTATAAAAAAATACAGAAAACTAAAACTATAAATTATTAAAAAATATTTAAAATTCATTATATATATAAAAAGAATCTTAGATACATTAACTATTACTATTGAAAAATACAATAATTTAAACTTTTTAATATCTTTATAGTTATTTTATTTATTATTTTTTATTTAATTATTCTAATATCTATATTTCTGATTGTGATTGTGATTCTGATTATTTGGATATTAAACCTATTAGAAAGAATACTAATTCTATAATTTACAAATATTTATTTATATATTTGAAAGTATCTAATTATATTATTAAACATTCTAATAGTTCTACTATTATTGATATAACTATTAAAATTAAAATTAATTATTTTATAATTATTATTAATATGAAAATAAAAAGAAGTTCTTTTATTGATTAGCTTAGTTCAGATTAAACAATTTTAAAAAAGTACTATTAATATTATTCTTATTATTTTAATTAGTACGAAAATTATTCTGAAATTATTTTTTATATTTTTAAAAAAATATAAATAAAATTATTATATTTTTAATTATTTTAGATATACGATTAAGGTCTTTCTAATTATACTATTATTCATTAAAAATTTAAAAAATTTACTAATATTAATATATTTAATTAGTTAGATAAACTGAATATAAAATCTAATATTAATATAATTCTAAATATAAATAAATTAATTAAATAAATTATTTGACTGAGCGGCTTAAATATAGCAAATAATCTTTTAAATAATATGATTTAATATAATAATTTGTTTAAATAATAATAAAACTGTAATATAAATTATTAAGCTTATTTATAACAATATAAAAATTAGATTCAAAATATTTTATTAATTTATTAAATGAATCGAATTTTAAAAATATTTTAATTATCAAATACTTTTTATATTTATTCAAACTAATAGTATATTAAATAGAAGTAGTATTTTATATATATATTTATAAATTAGATTTTACTAAGATTTTCCTGCGGTATTAAAGATATTTACATAAAATAAAATAATTAATATTTTAAAATTCTAAATATAAATAATTTTTCAAAAATATAGATTAAAACATAATATAAATAATATAATATATATAAAATAAAATATTGCTGTTTATACTACAGATAAAATAATTAAAAAAACTATAATAAAAATAAATTATTTAATATATAAATTCTAATATATAATTAGATAATAATTTAATAAAATCTAACAGACGCTAATAATAAATATATAAAATTGAAATATATAAATAAAAAAATAATACCGCAGACGGATATTCGAACAAATTATATATAATAAAATCAGAATATATTAAAAAAAATCAAAAAATCGATATAATAATAAAATAAGATAAAAATAATAAAAAATACAAAATACAAAATTAGTGAGTAATAAACGGATAAAAAATTAAATAAATAAAATAAGTATAATTTTCAAATTTAGTATAAATATATTTATATAGAACTTACTTCAGCTAGCTAATTATATAACTAAAATAAAAATTAATAATATTTAATAATCTATAAATAAAAAAATAAAAAAACAATTGACCGGCAGAACTACAGTATAACTAAAAAATCTTAAAAAATATAAAAAATAATTATAAAATATCTGAAAAAAAAATAAATATAAAAATAAAAAAAGTAGAAAAACCGATCTAATTTTTTAAATTATATATAATATATTTAGATAACTGAATACACTATTAACTGTAACAGTTACAGCTGATAAATTAATTAATAATATTTATATTATCAATTATAATAGTTGTTTTATAAAGAAATAATGGGAAGGTCGAACTACAGAAGAACCGCCTAAGACGGAAACCAACGGCAGAATCGATTAATCAAACCATATCAACTAACCGAACCGCTATGCTATAATCATGAAAAGTTTGTTTATATATTTTTTCTATGATAGTTACAATATTAATAATTTTTAATTTCTTAATATTTAACTTTAAAATCTTACTAAATCTTCTGAATAGCAATAATTAGTTTTAAAATAAATAGGACTGCTACTATTCTATATCTAACTGACTTATTTTCCCTTGACAGTGATACCTTTCTGATTAAGCTGCCTATGCTAGAATCTTCCTCAACTACAGTACAGAGCAAGATCGTAGTATTGCAAAATCTTGTATTTTGATCTTCATACTTACATTATCACTGGTCCGGGTCATAATAACTTCTGAAAACATGATTGTTGGCTACTTGTTGGGGCTGACTATATTTACCCAGTAGGTAGGGGTTAGCAAAGTGACGGTACTCAAGGACAAGGATGAAAGCCCGGCGAAGTCTCACCTACCGCTTGATTACTGTGTTGTGCGTGAGTGCAACTGCCACCACAGACTACTGCCTTCAAAGTATTCAAACTCACCTTTGTTCGTTTGCGCCATCACATTTACAGTATTTATATTATTAAGAAGTCACAGTTCGCAATGGTCGAGTTGAGGAAGCGTAAAGCGACAACACAACCCCTCGAAACAGAACAAAAGAGCAAGCGCATCCTCGAGCTCGACCCAGCCTCGAAGAGAGGGCCTAAACAAGTCACGGCTGGCGGCGCTCTTGCCGACGCATCTAGCGATGCTTACCATGAATCCCCGAAAGTCGGAGAGACGCTCGATTTGAACCAATTTGGTGGTGAATTTGAAAATCATGATGGGACGAAACTCAGATTGAAGGATCTCGTCGACAGTAGCAAGTCCGGTATTGTGTTATTCACATATCCCAGAGCGTCTACCCCTGGATGTAGGTTTAAATCAAGACCCAATTCTATTCTGTCAGCTCCTTTGGCTTGCCCCAATCCATACATGATGCATCCATGCACTGTACCATCTATCTTCATCATTCTGTTTTCTTTCTCCTTTTGTGGTTACCTCGATATGACACTAGCTCTTGCTATGGACTCACTCTGGCCTAGGTACCAAGCAAGCCTGTCTTTTCCGTGACAATTATGAATCCCTAACTTCAAGTGGGATGTCAGTATACGGTCTTTCAGCGGATTCGCCCAAAGCAAACACCACTTTCAAGTCTAAGCAGAAGTTGCCTTTTCCTCTCCTGTGCAATTCCTCCTATACACTTATAGCTGCTCTTGGATTCAAGAAAATGCCAAAAGGAACAACAAGGGGTGTCTTTGCTGTAAACAAGCTGGGTAGGGTTCTCCTACATCAAAGGGGTGGTCCCGATGCAACAGTCGAGGCTGCGCGACAAATCGTTATTGCCTCGAAGGAGGAGAAACGGGCAAGTCCTTAAAGCTGCATATACTCTCGCAGATCTGCCACAATGGAAGGAGATAGATATGGATGTTTTACACAATTCCAACAAGTGATGATAGGCCGGCAATTGATGTGGAGGATTCACGCGATATTCCTTGGTAGACGTGAATGTACTATTGTCCCTAGACAAGCCTATTGGTACTCCATTCCTCACCGGCTACTGACGAGAGTTGGGGAGTAGGCATAAAGAAGCTTTGATCATGCTTTGACGGGGGGATAGATGTGTAATCACAGAAATAGAAGTCATCATGATCCCGAAGGTTGTGAACCAAGGACCCCTCGACTCCTCGAGTGTTGTTCTAAGAAATTAGCTTCAGTTTGTTCGGGATGCACATGCTTACAATTAGATCAATGCTATTCATCCATTGTGCTCGGAAATACTGTTGTTCCGCACGACCCGACCTCCCAAGAAGGCCTCCGCCGGACAGTTCGATTGCTACTGACAGCGAGCCAGCGATTCCAGAGGGACAACTCTGCGGAAATATAGATCTCAAAAGGTGAGGTATGAGAGACCATGTGCTGCGCTTTGTCTCAGCATCTTGCCGTGAAGGCTTTTCTTAACTGAAGTTTCACATACTCATAATTAATAGAAACCACCATGGCTCGCGACATAGTCAAAGCGGCCAAGTCGGCATCAAATGTGATAGCTGTTCACAAGGTTGGTCCTCAAAGAATGACTATATATTTCTATATACACTAATACGTTACTCAGAAATACACTGTTCAGTCGACTGGCGTATGGGAGCGTATCCGTCGCCTTCTGTCCATTGATCCTAGTCGCTCTACCGGCGTTCCATTGAACTCCCAATTCCGCCTGCCGGCTCCAGGATCTCTTCCACCTCTGTCCTATGACGACCCTATCACAGTTCCAGCGGGTGACATCGCCGATAACCCTTACTGGAAGCGCGATGCTCGGAGAAACTATCCTAGACTCAGTACGGTGAATCAGGCCGACGTTGTTGGTCTTCTTACCGTAGGCAGTGAGGCAGCACCAAAGGAAGTTTTGAAGCTTGGTGAAGCGGGTGAAAGACAATTGGTATCGGTCAAGCAACAAGGAGAGGAGCGCGGCCTTGCCGGGTTTTTCGAGAAAGACAAGGAGGGGGCTAGCGGTGTCCTGAATGCAAATGGTTTGCCACCCTTGCCTTGCAGCTTGAATTCTTCAGCTTCCAAATACCAGCTGGATCATCAACATGGCTATCCTGGCGTGTAAGTTCTATCTCACCCTATATTGATAATAATCACTGACACTTTGCAAGGTATCCCTGTCGCACTTTTATCTGATTATACAGAAGTAGACATACAATCACTATGTATCAGTGTCTGTCTCCATTTACGCCCTCGGGCTTCCTCATACAACTTAACTCAACAGTTGTAACGAATGTAACCCGGTAATGTGAGCAAGGTCGCGTGTTGGATATCTCAAGATTTGCGTAACCTGGTATGTAAATGAGAAAGCGCGCTCGAGGGTCACAGGTAGCTGAACTTCGAACCATTAGCTACTTGCTGCACGGAGCAAGTGGCTCTTCCGACTGTAGCCTCAGGCTCAGATGATTGCCCCCAATGCCGTTCGAATATGTTGAGATCCTCTGTTAAAATCAGGTCACGACTCGGAACTAGGGTAACACAATATCGTTGCGTTGTTTGCCCAGGTCATCAAACATTACCCTGGGCTATCCTAACGCTTCAGACACAATTTACTAACGATGACATGTTCCAAAAGAGTCGGCTTCGCCAAGCGGCTTTGATGATTACGGAAATTTGAATATTCTTGAGGCTAGAACTATATCGTATCTTATTCAACTGCACATAATGCATAAACACAAGAATCAAATGTGGTACTGAGTCTCATCCCCATTGATTCCTCACGCGAAAGGGTTGGTGCGCGTGCCCCACCAGGTAAGGAATAGACTGAGTCCTACTGTCTCAAAGACCCTGCCGACAGCGCCCACTGCCACTGTGTCGAGGGGGCGTTTCTCTGTGAAGATCTGGCTAATGACCTGGAAGGATCACAATCAATTAGAGCAAAGTCGTAGCATGCGATATCATCAATACTTACACTTGGAGCTGCACTGGCCATAAAGATCAAACTTCCCAAATAGGCTGCACCCTTATAACTAAGGGTCCCCGTTGCATTGATCAATGCCGCCACGCCGTAAGTCTGCACAGCACTGCCAACAAGAGAGCTACCCCAGGCCGCTGCAGCACCAGCAGCTTCCTTAGACTTGAAGAACTCTTCCTTCGAATTGGCAGCTTGGGCACGATGGTAAGTATCGCCAAAGACTGGGGCGAGAATGCCTAGTGAGGCAGTGTGCGTGAAGATAGCGCCGACTGCAATTGCGGACGGCTTCACGGATGGCAAGTCTAATGGTTCTATGTTAGAACAAGGCTCGAGCAATAAGTCTTTGTGAAGTTGCCAGGGTGGAGTGGGATGGGGTGTAACTCAAAGAAAATACTCACAATTGAGGGTCGTCATTTCGCTGGCTGTGGTAGGCTTCGAGATCGTCTTCAGAGAACGAGTAAATGTAGTCTTTGATGCTGATGGTAATTGTTCTTGACAATGATAAAATAAAGGGGAATAACGTCGCTTTATGAAGCTCCCCAGATCCGAAGGGGTCACATGCCGTTGCCGTCATTCTGGTAAGAGACCAGTGACGAGGTGAGCAGTGACGTCGTCATGAGCAAAAGACACTTTTGAGAGGGATGGAACCTGGTCAGAGATGATAGGTTAGCACCCACCACCTTGGGCATAGTGGATAAAACTAGTACCTCCGTAGCTAGGTATGTAACTGAGCGGCCATTTTCTATTGTGACGTCATCTCGTGTTCTACTCGACAGAGCTGGAGTAGTTTGACATGGTGGTATGGGTACCGCGGGCACGTAACTACAGCATCCATGATTGCCTACTAGTCACTAGACTCAGCTGATAGCTGCTATGGATCGGTTGAGGTTTTCTGGATGGCGTTGAGACTAGCTGGACACTGCCATTCAATTTTGTCGCCCACACGTGACTATATGTTAACCAACCAAAGGTAGCAAGGAGAAAAGCCTTCGAGGGGCACATGCCCTAATCATCATTGTACTGTAAACCTCGTTATAACGATATGCATCATAACGATTTTCGACCTACAACAATTGTGCCGAATATTTAAATTAGTTCTGTTATACAAAAATCGCTGTGTCGCTTTATAGCCATAATCGGTATCTTTACTTACCTACCCATACAAAAATTGTTAAAACGAGGTTAAAAATTATCTAAGAATGTAATAAACAAGGAAAATCTCGAGTATTAGGAGCATATTTAGATAAGAAATGTCACGTGCTGATGCCATTTATACTGTTTCAATACAGCGATATCTGCTATACAACGATTCCAAGGGGCCTCACCAATTATATCGTTATAACGAGGTTTTCCAGTACATTAGATGAACTACTACTGCTAGTGCAGTGATGGAGCATAGCATCCCCGCATTTCAGCATGATAGTGCCACTAAGGAGTTTAGAATTCAAACAGCTCGTTTGCGGCCGTGGAAGCAAGCATGTTATAATTTTATAGCAATTTTACTCAGGCGTCGGAACGCGCACTGCACAGTACGTATATACGCCAGTGATTCAGGGCTGGGGCCACTGACCGTCAGCGATGTACAGTGCTGGAGATGATTAGTGGGCTACATAGTAAGAAGGAGCCCTAAGCATAGTGTGACTCGAAAATGCAACCTCAAACATGTCCGGACTTTAGTGCTACATATCTAGTACAGTACATACCATCTTCCAGAGTCTGCCTACCAACTAGCAACCTACTCACTGACCCAGGCTACGAACATATGTGCTTGACAAACTAAACCAAATTGTCGCGATCGGCTAACAATAGGATGCTCATGAAAGGACCAATAAGCGGCAGAGGCTCGACACTAATGGACCTTTTTTTTTCACAGTTCCATGATACGTACTTGTTATCTTCTTGTTTGCTTTTTTTCCAGCAGTTTTTTTTTTCAGCCGAGCCTCTGAGGTCCTCTGATGGAAGCACCTCTTTATCAATAGTGCAAATACTCATCTGATTTTTATTCTATTTGTTTCGCATCTCTCTGTAGATATTACTTCTACCGCCCCTCGTCTTTGTCGATCATTTACTAAAGATTCTTCCTATTCCGGTACATCAGATATTTTCATCGCCCTTGGAGAACATGAATGAGATTGAGATCAGCCCAGTCGATCTGACCGATGCGATTGATGTTGATGAATCCCTGGTTCCCGTTAGGGACATCAAACAAGCCAGCCAAAGCAATGTAGATTTTGATGGCCTACTGGCGACGCCTCTCCTCCTCCAGGAAGATCTCAAAGAGGGCTGTGGAGGCCAACTATGGCCAGCCGGCATGGTTCTTGCCAAGTATTTGTTACGTCAGCATCGCTTTAGCCTTGCCCATAAATCAATGTTTGTCACCTTCTGAACTTAAGCCTTGTTCTCCCTCGTTTCCTATCCTGTGCAGTCAGTCGGACAGAACATTACTGATTCTTCGCTAGTATTGAGCTGGGCTCTGGTGGCGGCTTGGTTGGGCTAGCAATTGCACGGGGTTGTCAAATCGGTCCGTCGCCTGTGTTCATCACAGATCAAGCGCCGATGTTATCCTTGATGGAAACAAATATCAAGCTTAACAATCTTTCGGACCTTGTTACAGCCAATATATTAAATTGGGGAGAGCCAATCCCCGACTGCATTCCACAAAAGCCTACGATTATACTTGCGGCCGATTGCGTTTACTTCGAACCAGCATTTCCTTTACTGATATCGACCCTGAAAGATCTGCTTGGTCCCGAGTCAATATGTTATTTCTGCTTCAGAAAACGTAGACGCGCTGATCTCCGGTTCATGAAGATGGCGAAAAAGCTGTTCATTATTGATGAAATCCAAGATGACCCTGATGCGAAAACATACCGGAGAGAGAACATCTTCCTCTACGCCATGCGCCCGAAATCTAGTGAAAGAACTATACAAAGCTTAGCAGCGGACTAGAACTGCATATTAGTCTGACTTTGCAAAAAAACGTGTCAATTGGTCACTGCCTCTACCCTCCCAAGTTGATAGACCACTGTCTCGAGCATATACTACAATTTCAATCCATAGCTTTTGTCCTTCGCATCTTCCCCAATTTTATTGCCTTGAATATCGGTAACTTCACCTTGTTTCCCGATAATCTTGACTCCACCCCTCTTGAGATCAGATATGAGTTTCTGGGCTTCTGCCACTTTCCCAGATTGTTGCTTGCTTGTTGTCGAGGCGTGATTCTGTTTTTTGCGCTCACGCCTCAGTCTGGCCTTCTGTTCACGGTTCATCTCTTCCCTAGCGATTGATACGCCGTTTCTCAGATTCACCTCTCCGGACACTTTGCCATCATCTCCAGGGGCATAAATCTCCTGTGGGGCAAGTGCTACCGGCCCATTGATTGCATTGCTGGTTGTCGGCTGAGCGTCTTCCATGGTGATAGTCGCCACATCAGTAACCACGCTGATGGTTGCGTGTGGTGCCTTTGGCTTGTAATGCCAATTAGAGAGTGTATCTAACTGAGAGCTTATGTTCTCCCAAAGGGTGGTAACATTAGCATGCTCCCGCAACAATTTCTGGTTCTTGGGGTCGACATAGTTAGGATCGGTTGATCGTAGATGATCAGTCTCGTAAAGTTCAGCGAGACTCTGTTGTGGTTTAGTATCCTCAAGCTCGAGCCTCGATCGCTCTGCAGGCGTCTTTTCGGTAAGTCCAGGACGGCGGCGTATTAATTCATCAAACTGTTTCGCAAGAATTCGCTGCTTGATCAAGTCCTCAATACTACTTGTCAACTCAGCTGTGACAACGGGAACAGGCTTGCCTATGCGCTCAAAGTCTAGGTCCTCTTCGATGAGGGAATTGACAGGTCTTTCGATCGCTCGAGCTTCACCACTGACCATCCACTCCTTCTTAGCGACATTGGCTGCCTCCAAACGGCGGATCTCGTCGGCGATTCGGGCACGTTGCTTTTCGTGGCTAGAATAGTGGCTTTGCGATGGGCGATCGTCCCCAGAAACGTCTCCGTCGTCTTCTGAGATTTCATCCTCAAAAAGATCTCGTCGAACATCGGCCATGGCTCGGTCAATATCACCATCGGAAACATTATCGATTGGCTGCGTTTTCGGAAGTGAACGCGACTTCTTCTTTGAAGCTTTTCTTGGAGGTGGCGCAAAGAAATCATCATATTTGATGTCGCTGGTGTTGACCCAACTTGGCGCTCCTGGAGCAGCATGTATTTCGTCGTCCTCCAAATCTGAACCACCATGAATATCCATATTATCAAAAGTCGGCCCGTCATCTTCGCTGTCATCCATGCTATCATTTCCGTCCTTGTTGGGCGCTGCTGTTGCCGAGCTTCTCTTCCGGTCCAACGCAGGATCGGCGAAGTCAAACGGATTTGTATGCCAGTCAATTTCTTCTTCGTCACTATCCGCACCGTCATGAGCTTCGCCCCTGGCATCTTGTCTTTCGAGTTGTTCGGATTGCTTGTTGAATTCGTCAATAGAGAAAAAACCGTCATTTAAGCCAAAAGCATCTTCGACATAGAACCCTCCATTGCTCTGATCATCCTGGCTTTCACGTAGCATAGACTCATCGCCTGACTGTCCATAATCCGTTCCTTCGACCTCGGAACCATAGTTTGAAGGCGAATGAGAAGTCGCGGTCGCCGAGCCAGTGTCGTCTGAACTCAAGTCACCTCTGTCACTTTGCGATTGGTCGACGGAGTCAAAAGAGTCCGAAAAAGCATCTTGGGATGCAGGATTGGAGACTAGTACCGGTGGAGTTTCCCATTCGGCAGAGCGTTGTTCTGCGACCTCGAGATAGCAGGTGCGATCACGCTCAATTTCACTGAAGGTGGAATCGAAGATTCGAGCGGCCTGTTGCCACACTTGATCATGAGTAAACCCCTTCACGTATAACTGCCGCAACTGCAGGGCATGGCCAGCGAAGCTCTGATCATTACCAGTCCGTTTCCTCTTCCTATCTCGGCGCTGTCGGGCACATTGGGAGTTGCTGACCGAGAGTGCCAGAGGATCCAGATAAAGGGAGACTGAAGCTTGTGCGGTGTTGTTGAGATCTACCGTGGGTTGAAGGAAAGTCCAGGGAGCCTTGAGCGCCGACTCTAGAGGCAAGGTAGCCAGATCGCAACACGCCGACTCGTCGCAAGTCAACTTAGAAGGTTGAACGGTTTTGCATACCATGGTGTGAAATGAGCATCACTGTTGTCCGGTGTGTGAGTAAGTCAATGTTTGAAAAATTTAAACTGACCAAAGGATTTTGAATAAACACCTGCGCTGGTAGTAGATTGCTTCGTGGAAGAACGTACGCGGCGGAGAAAAAAAGTGTAAAAGTGCAAAACGCACGGGCCGTCATCTTCCGTGTATAACTAGGATTATGCATTACAGCAATAATACAAGTAGACTAAAGCACAATGTACATGTACAGTAAGTAGAAATAGAGAATTCTTATCTGTACTCCTCTAAACCTTTGTAAGTAGATAGTGGAATCTTTTTGCCTTCTAGTGTATTGTTTTTGTATATAACATTGTATAAAGAAATCAGTGCGGCTCTGAATCCAAGTTAATAGCAATCTTCTTACATTGGGTAATTAGGGTCCTTCTGGGGTTGAAGATATTGCTATTAGGGTCTTTTCTTAGAGGGTCTCTTTGTTCTTTTCATTGGGATCATTGGGGTATTAGATAGTCTACTGGAGAGGTGAGCAGGTTACCATATATTTTTATATATATAATCTAATACACCTTTCAACTCTAGTAGTATGCCGGCTTGCTTATCCTGCCGGTTCGCTTATCGATTACGTTAATAGCAGCTGTATTTCTAATACTACTGCAGCGAAATCCTAGAATTTAGATAGTAACTTAAGCTCTACATTTGATTTCTTACAAATATAACTGATATGGAATAAGAATATCTAATATTATCGTAGGCTCTACTTATCCCCATAAAAGAGGAGAAAAGGACTATTTCTTATAAAATCTGAATAGCAATACCTTCACTGTGGTGTTTTTTGTGGTTGTTGATTCTGCCGTCTTTGGGCTGGCCGCCTCTTACACCGTCTACATGTATCCTTCAGTCTCTTGCACTTCCTCAGTCTTCCTGTCTTCGACACAATCAATCATATCAATCTTTGTCATATCCACGTTTATTGTATTCTACCATATTCACCTACTAAAACTTTTGAAAATGCCTACTATAATTTCTCTTATAGAAGACTCTTTCTGTAAAGACTTATATATTCCAACTATAAACCTGGGTGCAATTAAATTTCCACTTGTATCTATAGTTATTATCTCCCAGTATAGTCAGCAGCGGGCAGATTTCACCCTAATATGTAATAATATATAGTTCTGGACTTGCATTCTTCTTAATTTTGTAATGTCTTGTTATTATACAAGAAGTGAATTAACCAAGACAAGACTACTAGACCAGGGTTCTGGATTGTGCTATTTGCGTTTACTGCATACAAGATAATGCTTGTGTCTACAATACTTATTATTGTTAAGAGGTACACACAGATCTTTAGAAAGGATGGTTGATAGGTACTAGTTAATTATGTATATATTCAGGAGTCAAAAATCTATTCATTAATCCTATTCTTTGATGCTTAGAGAAGAAAAGTCTGTGTGATATGTTTGTGCCACCCAAATGACTGGCTCTAGCTTAATAGTGAATATAGTCAGTTTTGATATTCTACCACCAGGATCCATAATCCATGCAGTAAACACCAAGGTGACTCCTCAACTATCGCCAAGCTCTCAGTAGATCCCCTTAAGCAGCTGCTATTTATACTCAGTATGTCCTATACCACCTATGTTAGGTGATATGTGTTGAGATGGTATCAAGGGTCCCACGACTTACTGTGATACTTACTAGCTGTTGACCTAAGCCGCGGAAAACCATGGTAGAAGAAGACGATAGTATAAGACATCCCCTAAATAAATAACCTCAATAGTGAGGCATTGTTCAATGAAACTACATATCCTAATGTTAGTGTCAAGCAGGTTTAAAACAGCTGTTAACTGATACCTGACTGTATGTGAAGTCTTCGATATTAGCTTGCCGCATAACGTCCAGCATAAGTGGGATTAAAAGAGAATATGATGGTCAATATTGCTTTCCTTTCTATACTGGGCCTTTTTAGGCCTTCATATGTTGAACCAAGGAGTTATTTGTATTTGGCCACAGTAGCTACTTATTATTGATACTTCCATAGTCACAGGCTTTTTGACTGCATCATAGTTAGCGCAAAAATGATTGGACATCATTTCTGATGGGCTGAAGCAGTGCAATATGGAGGCGATACGTCATTCAACCACCATGCCACCTCCAAATGAGTTGGATGGTAACGTCACCTTGACGAAGATGCAATGCGCTAAACTGAACCTTTCCTCCTACATAAGTCATCTAATTTAGTCGCAAGCGGTAATGAATTGTAGATAAGACTCTCACCTTTGCGGAGTTGTTAATCTTCTAATTAAAGCATCCAGCGGCCGTGTGCCTACCTAAGCGCCTTCAATATGCAAGAATACACCGAGAGATCATCGCGGGGAAGCCCTTCCCAGTTCAAGCCCGGTAGACTCTAGTGCAACCATTGTTTCCAGCGGGAAGCTGACTTATACTGCAGGTCATGAGATACCCATTCAACATCAAAAAAAGCCAGGCTTGCAGGCCGATCTCGAACAACCGAAACCAGCGTCCAGCCACATACCCGATGAGGATGGCGCTTATCAGAGCTACAAAGCAGCAGGGAAGTTGATTGGCAAACGCGCTATAATCACCGGTGGCGACTCAGGAATCGGACGTGCCATAGCCATATTGTTTGCGATGGAAGGAGCGACAAGCCTGATAGTCTATTTACCAGAAGAGGAAAAGGACGCACAAGAAACAAGAACAAGGGTGCAAGAAGCTGGGCAAGAATGTCACTGCATGGCTACCGATCTTCGCGAAAGGGAGAACTGCCGCAAGGTGATCGATACCGCACTAGAAAAACTAGGTGGCATAGACATCCTAGTGAACAACGCCGGGACACAGAATATGATCGAGGACCTCAAGGATTTAGAAGAGTAAGTAGGCTCTTAACCCGATGACGCTCTCCATGCTCTGCCCGTAAGGTTCGGGTTCCCGATGGTTCTCCCAACGGCAGTATCAGAGGAGCCGTTGGATTTCGTATTCAATACGTCGCTGTTTGCTAACAAGAGCACAATAGGAGCCAGTGGGTAAAGACGTTTGATACCAACATCCATCCCTTCTATTACCTTAGCAAATACGCTCTCCCCTACTTGAAGCGGGGCTCAACCATAATCAATTGCGCATCTGTCAATGCTTACATCGGCCGGCCTGACCTTCTCGACTATACATCGACAAAGGGAGCCATTGTTGCCTTCACGCGAGGTCTATCTAATCAGCAACTTAAGAATGGCATTCGTGTTAATTGCGTTTGTCCAGGGCCAGGTAAGGTTTGACCGGAGAGACTTAACTTACCTGAACAGGATGTGAACTGATATAATTATATGTAGTTTGGACCCCGCTTATTCCTGCCACCATGACGACCGCTGCGATGGAGCAATTCAGCTCTGTACCGATGGGTCGCCCAGGGCAGCCCAGTGAAATAGCTACTTGTTTTGTTTTCCTCGCAAGTGCGGATAGTAGCTATATTTCGGGACAGTGCTTGCATCCTAATGGGGGCGTGGTTGTGAACGGCTGAATCATATGTCGATGGGAGAGCAAGCACCTAGCAAAGCACACGCACACATAAATCAGATTTTACATGAGTAGGATGTAGCCAAAAAAAGTAAAGAGACTGTTATTTGCAAGACTGCGCGAACGACAAGTAGTTCATAAACACCTATTTATGGGGAGAAGAACGCTGGTGTGTTAAATCCTGCTGCCACTTACAATTTACCCACTATAGTGCACGACTTGAAACTGCGGAACTAACGACGGTACCACATGCGCGTGATCCTGGTGTGCCTCATCTTCTTCTGAAGTTGAAAAATTCCGTACATCAGTGCCTCGGATGTAGGCGGACCTATAGTTTTTGGAAATTAGCGAATGACACCATAATGAGGGGGGAAGGCAAAACGAACATCCAGGGACATAAACGTCCACAGGGACAATTCTGTCGCACCCACGAACGACAGAGTAGCTATAGTGGTAATATCCTCCACCGTTCGCACAACTTCCCATACTGATAACCCATCTCGGATCAGGCATTTGATCGTAAACCTGTCTAAGAGCGGGTGCCATCTTATTTGTCAAGGTACCAGCAACAATCATTACATCGGATTGTCGAGGAGAGGCTCTGAAAATGATTCCCAGGCGATCTTGATCGTATCTTGGTGTCGAAAGATGCATCATTTCCACGGCGCAGCAAGCAAGCCCAAACGTCATGGGCCAAAGTGAGCTCTGTCGTGCCCAATTGGCAACTTGGTCAAGGGTGGTCCTGTAAAATGTTATTTAATCGCCCATACATGGCAAGATAGCTGATATACGGACAGCACATATTGCATCGCACCCTCCTTTTTCTCCTGACTGGGCAATGGTACCTCCTTTCGTACCTTGCCAGAAGCAGTGAGATGTTGACCAGGCTGCCCCTGCCGTTCGAGAGCTGTCGCCGATTTGATAGCTGATGTTGAAAGACGTGAGATATTCTGCGGTCGGAAGAAACGTGACGCCGGCGGCGGTCGCGCTGCCTGATTGTCAATTGATGGCCAGTTAAAGATCGAGTAGAGACCTACCATGCAAAGCGCTTGAGACAGCGCGCCCGGTGAGAGGAAGCATACTGACCAAGACCTCGTGGTGTGCTTGTAAAAGTTTCCCGGATCCCTGGGTGGATTGTGCACGCAGCAACTCTGAGAGTAAGGTAGGTGTAAGTACACCTTCGAGAATCACAGTGGCGTGAAGTAACGTCAAGACGAAAGAGTCAGTTTGGATGGTTGTTCTGCGCCGATGGTACCACCATTAGCTGTATTACTGTAATGATACACTTATCAGTGGAAAGATAGAGCCACTAATGTAATGAGACTTGTAATAAAGAGTAATGAGTACCCAGGCAAACCTTGATGGAGTCACGTGATCTTATAAGGTTAATTCGGGGCTGATTCATTGGCCGAGCTGCGGATGCACATATTCCATAAATAGGTACCTAGACGGTGGCATCAGGGTCAGTACAGTCCTTGATGCCGATTTCATGGGGTGACCTATCATCGACCAGAGTCTACGTAGTTCACCATCCAAGTTATCGCCATTCAAGGCCATTTTTGTGTTCAGGCTGATTGAGAGGAGGTGAGAGCTACTGCGACCTCATCACCTGACTTAGGTATGTTCATATTTTTGTGACGATATGGTCGAGCCTGTACTAAGGTAGGGGCCTGTTTCGCCGTGCACTTATAAACAGCTAGGGACGTCAATATCAACTCCGTCTGAGCTCTTGTCATATTTGAAGGTCTATGAACCCGATCTAAACAAGAGCACTTGAGATGCGAAAGTGAAAAGTGATCGCTATGATGCCTAAGATCGCCTGTATCGGAGTAATCGGTAAAGCCGTAAGTACGTCATTGCACCTGGAGCAGCTCTGATACTAATGCTGCGTAGGACAACCCAATACATATAGCATTGTTCCCTCCATATCGCAACTCGGCTATCGAGTTCTCCTTCCTAGTGAACTCCTGCTTGGATATCGTTGAGATAAGGCGCAGACAAACGTCCATTGACCAGGATCTCGGCCTTTTGCACGCCGTGGACGAAAGCTTGGCGGCGTACGGATGGCTCACCACGACAGGAGTGAAGCTGCTAGTTATAGTTGATCTAGTCGGCGAAACACTTAGTCCAGAAGGGCTCGGGGCATCATCTAGGACTATTCTCAAACTGCCTAACCTTAGGCCGGTATGTTATGCATTAGTAGCGCGATCACTCAGCCAGCAATTGATACACCACTGACTCAGTGCTATAGGTCTTCCGTTCTCTGCAGGACGCTTATGTTCAACTATTGCAGAATCCATTCTATACCCCGTCTGGGCACTGTGACACCGTCAAGCCTTCTGCTCAGGTGTCAAGCTTTCCGCAGGTCGCAGACAAAAGATTTGTCAGGGAGATTTTACGAATTGGTGAGTCATGGGCACCATTTATGTCTCCACATTAGGAAGGTCCCGCTAGATCATGGCAATTGTGATCATCATCTCGGAGTGAGTAGCATAGTTCAACAGATATTTGATCTCGGATAGTGCCTCTGAGTCGTGGTAAGAGCAAAGGCGGACTTGAAACCAAAGTTCCCTAGCACCTGCATGCTACTAGTATGTCCATTTGAGATATTCTCATCATAGAAGACTGAAGGCCTCGTTCTAACCACGCCCAGATCTAGCCTATTATCAATCTATTGCTCTCTAACGAAGGGAAAGGGAGATTGACTGTACATGGCTGAAGGTTAAGATCCACAGGAATATATCTACGCCATGACAAGTGTAAGAACTTAGTACTAGGGATCCGTACCCGATTTTTCCAAATCACTCAAAATATCCTCCAGCTCCCGAGGATCGCATATGGACCAGACACCGCCACCCTTGACCATGATCTTGCCAACTTCCTTACCAACCAAATTTCTGCCAACCCTCCCTGGCCCTATTCCAATCCAACGTGTCACACCGTGATCCTGATCTAGATATCGTATGCTATCCCACCACCTAACGGTTTCAACGCATTGCCGAGAGAGCAGAGACTTCAACTCCGCTTTTGAACTAGTCGGCAGACCTGAAACATTTGATACGAATTGCATATGTGTGGGAAATCTGATGTTGATATTCTCCAAGGCATACCGCATGTATTCAGCAGCTGGTGCCATGATAGGATTGTGGAACGGACTCTCGCATTTTAATTTCACCGCGCGAGGATCGTGGCCTCCAAATTGACGGAGCTGGACTATCAGAGTCCTGATTTTTGCAATACTGCCGCTAAGTACGATTTGGTTATTAGAGTTTATATTTGCAATCATGACATCCTGGAATGCTGAAGCCCCGTGATCAGTGTCGTCTTTCAATACTGGCTTCGCGAGCCCAAGAAAGTCGTGAATGGCTTCCAGCAATTCCAGGAAATGATCAGGCTCGCAGACAAGAGCTACCATGCCATATTCATCTCCAGTTGTTTCGAAGGCCTTTCTCGTGCATTGGGACATGATCTCTGCACGCCGTCTGACCAATCTTAGAGCATCCCCAAAATCAAGGTAACCCCCGGCAACCAGAGCAGTGAACTCGCCCAGGCTGTGGCCCAGGGTAACGTCTACTAGCGTATCTGCATTGAAGCCGAACTCGTGTTCTAGTATCCGGAGTATCAACAACGATGTAGCCATGATAGCGGGTTGCGAGTTTTCCGTCTTATTGAGCTCCGAGTTAGGGCCCTGGGATATGATCTGAGACAATGGGAAACCCAAGGTGGAGTCCACCTCGCTCATGACTTTGTTGGATATTGTGGGAAACATCTCAAGCCATGGATTTGCCATTCCCATGCGCTGAACCCCATGGCCTGTGAGCAGAAGCGGTTAGAAGCTAAGGTTAAGTGAAGGGTGAGGGCACCCAAACCGGGGAAGAAAAGGGCTGTGCGTAGTGGTGTTTTGGCAGGAGATATAACGGAGCATCGACTTCGCGGATATCTGTGGGGCTGCATATAGCGGTGGCCATGACACCCTCTGTGCGGCTTCGGTATTAAAAGGGAGGTGGGCATAGTTTCTAGTGACTCGTGAATCTAGCAGCCCGTAGTGCTTGTGCAGTTGCATGTCGCGGTAGATAAATGGGCATCATGACCTTGTGCCAGGAGGCTAGGTGAAGTTCTTCTCGGGGTGGAGTGCAGGGGGGCCGATACGAACAGCCATAAATGAAGGAGCGAGTGGTGTGGTCACGTGATGTATCATGGACAGAAGTCAACGATTTGAACTAGCACAGCTAATACTGATAAGTTGCTGTCGTGTAGATCGCACATCGGACTGTAAGCCATGGGGAAATGTAGACCTATCTTGATTACAGTAGTTTGCTGCAAACTGGTTTGTACAGTGATTAAGCTAGAGAATTATAGTTGCAGGTCATTGTGAGCAGAAGATAGGAGAAATGATGTGCCTTCTTCCTGCTTAACAGAGTTACTGTCCATACCAGAAAATAGTACGTACAGAGTATGTTCTTTCCAATAGGAAGTAAGTATCATCTCACGCAAAATCAAGGAAGGAAGCCTACTATAATTTTGACGTTCGCTGCCTATGTACGTATCATTATCAGTAGAAATATACATGCGCCAAGCAAGATTTTGAAAGAATATAGCCCAAAGAATATGTAGCGATCTACGGCTCCGATGTAGTTTGTGTATGACAATCATATACTACCAGTCACAGTAGTCCTTCATTTAACTCTAGGCGAATTGGAATGGTCGAGTGCGAATCAAAGCTGCCCTAGGCAGATATCCTGAGCAATTGTGCCTGACCGCCTTCGGATCGGCAGCACTTAATTGCGCGCAGCCGACACATGTCGAGTGTTGTTATTGACAATAATGAGCGCGGCCACGAGTTCATAGATGCGCGCTTTAGTACCACTATCCTCATATATCTACCTCACAGAACATTCATGATTTAACCACCCTGAAAGCGATTCTATTCGCTCTACTACCGTATCGAGATCCAACAATGTTCGTACCAAAAGCAGCACTTGGGCCAGCAGCCGCCTTGCGCAATCCCCGAAGACGACAGCGTACGAACTCGGATGACACCCCGCAACAGCCCAATGCGAAACGTCAGCGCTCTGCTCTACGTCAAGATAGCGTCGAATCATCCATAGAAATCTCTACCGGAAACCTATCCCGGAAACCATCTCCGGCTGCTGAAAACCTCGATCTTTCCAATATAGGAGTCACACCCGCCGACGCGGCGAATGAAATCCCCATAAGAGCCGCCAAAAGACCTGGAAGCTCTAAGCAAGACGCTGCCGAAGCAGTGACCCTCGTCTGTCACTCATGCCACATTTTCACAGTCAATTTAACTAACGCTCGATTTTGCAGTCACAAACAGATTTCTACAGTGTCAAACAGCTGCCAGCTTTTCCAGATCAGATCGCCGGCTTACAATCAGGTCAGCACAGACGTGATTACGCTCATACTACATTTATTGACGGGATATCCAGAACCTTACAGAGTTGTCTTCGGAAGGGGTTATGGTTTGGCACTGGCTTTGACAAGGTCTCATGCAATAATTTGGCCATATTCTGAGGATGCTCAGCCACAGAATTCGGAGGTTCTTAGTCTACCCCTCCCAGAATTATGCAGGGGCTCCAATGATGCAGCACCTCTTGGACAACTTCTGTCAACAGCAACAGGCGGCTTGCCGGGACTAGTCATTGTCACACCAAGCAGTGGCCATATATTGTATTGGGAGACCATAACGAGCGCCACATCACTCGGATATACCAGGCAGAAACTGTGTGGCCTGCAGGGAAGCATCAATGGCCTCCTCTCTGGTGAATACGCCACTGACGTTATCAACTGTGAGCCATCTGGAGTCATCGTGATATTCTCCACCGGTAGAGTAGCTCACGTTACCGTGAGGGATCCCCAAGGCAAGCCGGCCGTAACGGCTAGTTTTCTCAAAAACCCCTCTGGTGGTGGTAAAATAGGCTTTCTCGGGGGCCTAAGAAATGCTCTTGGTGGAGGGTACTGGAGGAAAGACATTGCGGCAGTCCAAGCAGGTCAATCGCATCAGCGGGGACAGAGAGAAGTCATCATAGCCACTACCACGGGTTCCTTTGAGATTTGGGACACTCATTGGAATAACGGAAGCTTGCTTAAGAAGCAGTTCGATGTTAGGAATATAATTTCGGATGCTCTGAGCGAAAACTCACTTCAGCATGAAGAGGGTAAGATCGAAATTTTGGATTTCGTGTTTACCGCCGCCGAGTCCAACGCCCACCATGGTTTGAGTAGCGAGTTCAACACGTGGGATGTCTTGGTTGTCGTGGGCACGACTGCAGCAGGCTCACAAGACCTATACGTTCTCAACCTGAGGCTCTCCGAAAAGGCTCAGATACTGTCTAGTACTGCGATAAAGCATCGTGGTTCTTTGCCACATCTCGAAGCCACTCAAATCAAGCTTTTAGTTCCTAGCTCAGGTAATATGGGCTTTCTCGTGGTCGGACAGTCAATCATTTTGCTGTCACTTTCAAATGGAAAGGAACACCTGGATGGGACTACACCTGACAGCAATCGAGGAGCAGGAGCATTCCACGATATCATCAATCTGCGATCTGGGCAACAGTACGATATCCTGGGTAGCGGATTTGAAGATCGGACTACCGAAAGGACAGAGCCTGCATGTTTGGTTATGGTTCGGGGCTTTGGTATCCTCCGAATCAGTGCCTTGGCTAGCAATCAAGAGGCGACAAGCGCTGCGAATACTTATATCACTGCAAAGCATAGGATTGAGCAAGCGATCTTTTATGGAACCATCATGGAAAATCCATTGGACCTGACAAACAAGGAGGGCCTAGGGTTTCCCCTAGGGGAGGTTGAAGAGGCTACCCTAGAGGTGGCCAATGAAATACTGAATTCAACTTCGAGATACATACCGACAACTTCAATTACTGTGGATCAGAATCTAAGGTTGCGGGCAAAGGCTCTTGATGATCTTTCATCTTTCTTGATGCAACAGCACAAGGCTTTGAGTCGCTTGGTCTGGTGGGAATTGCTCTGGGGCGCGGAAAAAATCGCAGCCCAAAGAGCTATCTGGAAGCTTGAAGAGTGTTGGCGAAAGCAGAACGGTAAAAGTCAAACGCTGCTGGCTGACATACTAGAATCAATGAGTGAAAGATTCAAGACGCAACGAAACAGTGATAGTGACCCGGTCCGGCATTGGTTCCTCCACGATACTTTTCAAATGGAAAATATCGTGCCCTGGATCTACCACTCGGTCAAACCACAAAAAGGCAGTAACCTGAAGCAGAGTTGGAGGGCCGCAGAAAAGCTGTTAGGCGCCAGCGAGCTGTCACTAGCCGTTCTAGAAACAGCGTATCACTATAGAGACGAGCATGCTAGTCGCTACGGAACCATTGATGGCTATGTCGAGGATGGGGTATTGACAGGTAATTACAAGGGTCTCCATGAGTTCTGGACATCCCGAAGCATTGGATATGTCGAGAGCGTACGCCTGTTGGATCTCGAGCTCGACACCTGCAGAGTCTGGCTCCAGCAGAGAGCAGGCTCGGCCGATATACCGGGAAATGACATCTTGACGAGAATAGCGACAAATGCTGCCAGACAGTTCCATATCCTGGGTCAAATCCACCGGGAGCGGGTTAGTTGGCTTGCTGCCCAAGAAGACCCGAAATTGGTTGATGAAGGGATCGCCGTCGAACACACACACGTCAAGCAGCGCAAATGGCAACTTTTTAAACTCGCCGGAATCGGTCACCTGGAGGAAGCAATCAAACTAGCAGAAGATTTCCGGGATATGGGAGCACTAGTGGAGTTGGTAATTGAGCTTCAAGACCAGACTAGGGGTCAGAATCTCCCGCCTCATTCTCCGAGCAACACAACCAGGGGCTTAGCGAATGCTTCGGATCAACTAAGCAAGAAGATATCAGGTTATTTCGAGAGATTTGGACATTCATGGGCTGAGGCATTCTTTTCGCGACAAATATCTCTGGGACAGGCAGGAGTCCTCTTCGCGATGAAGAAGTTCCAGCCTTATGTCACCCAATTCCTACGCAGTCACTCAACATACTCTCGGCTCTCTTGGATCAACGATGTGATTGGTGAGAATGACTACGACAGGGTTGCTTGTGCCCTAGAAAAGCTGGCCCTTGAACAGGAATCAGACTTATGGGGTCATCGAGTAGAGTTATCTATGGCTAAACTCATGACATTGGCAGCCTGGGAGCAGTCATCCCAGCCCAAAGGTTTGGTGGACCAAAGAGATGTTAAGCGTCTAGAGGACCTTGCAGAAATAGATGCTGTGCAGGAGCTTATATCCGCCTCCATTACACCGGCCTTAGAATGCGCGATTGACGAAAAAGCTAAAGTTGAAATAGCTGTTTCAAGCATGGGGCGGGGCATCTTGAAAGACACGCCGTCGCTTTATGAGGTCATGAAAGAGGCAGTTACGAAAGTGGTGTTCCGACAAGTGATGAATGTTGATGAGTTGGTGGATTTCTTGACTCTGGCAAGAATTCCTGAGACTCCGAGCAACGATCAGGAAGAAATCGTGGGGAAGGAGGACTATCTGGCTTTGCGTGTCTTACGTTTGAGTCATTATGCCCAACGGGATCCGCAGTTGTATGCCATCTTGCAAAAATTGGTATGGAAGAGATGCATGATCAGTGATGACTGGATTGCAACTGGGAAGGCTGCCGAAGAATCAGGAAGCGAATTTGAACATGTTCTGCATGGTACCTCGCTTGCTCGAACTCTCGCCTGGTGTCACAACGATAGTAGGTGTACTCCAGGAGGCATGTGTCCATGCGTTAACTTACTCGCTGACTGTGCTATTTAGGACTGAGTGAGGACCTTTCCCAACCAACACTTTACATCCCTCGGGCTCCGGAAGATGTCATTCTAAGCGACTTGGAGTTAGACCGTCTCACCGCTCGGTTGAGCCCAGAACGGCGAGCGCACAATCGTCGGGACCTTGAGAGAGA